ATGAGCAAATGAGTGCCCCGTTTATTAAATGGGCGGGCAAAAACCTACCCATTTAGAAAATATTAAATGAGTCATAAATGGGTAAATGAGCAAAACATGCGCACCCATTTATGATCCGTCCATTTAATACCTAACTCACCCATTTAACACCCCTACTCAACACACACCTAGCAGTAGGTGATTTTCTAGAACAAAGTGAAGAAAGGTGAAAAGACAAGACTTGGTTTCAATTATGGAGTAAAAAAATAATAGAAATAGTCATATGGGCTCAAAGACCATCGGCTCAAAAGAAGAAAAACAAAGTGGTCCTAAGAAGCTATGAGTAGGTAGGAACTAGCAAGTAGCCTAGGCAGCTATGATCATATGTACTTCATTTTGAATAAAGAAGTTGAAAAGGTACAGATGCGAGAAAAGAAATATCGTGTCCCTCAGATAACAGAGAAGGTGGTACGAAACAAAGAAGAGGGCAAAAGTAGGCTCTGATACCAGTAAAAGGATAAAAGAGGTTGGTTTTTTTGATTTGTGGTTTCGGATAGAAATTTGTGTTTTTCTGTGTATCTCAACAATGAGATAACCCTTCCTTTTATAGAGGCTTTCCAGTAACCACCCCACCCCAAATCATACCAGCCTCCATAATTTCCTCTAAGGGGCTGTTTGGTTCGTTTCCTAGATATAGGGAAATGCATTTTCATGTACAAAAACACAAGTTTTGAGTTTTTCAAATTTTTCTAAGAAATAAATTGTTTCGCTTTTGTTCGCACAAAAAAAATGGTGGGAAACCAATGTATTTATTTTTCTTATGTTTGGTTCGCATGGAAAAAAAGGAAAACTTTTGTTTATATGGCAAAAAGCTGATGTGGCTGCAAGTTTCGTCGATTTCACGAGGTTAAGGAAGGAATTGGGGGAGAAATCTAATGTGATGGCGATTTTCACCGAGTTTCCCTTCTTCAACCCTAGCGAACCAAAGAAGGAAAAAAAAACCCGACGGAAAGCTTATATCCTACGTGGCCACGAAAAATCTAATATGGAGGTGTAAAACTTTTTCACCGAGTTAAAAAACGAACCAAACAGCCCCTAACCATCCACAAATCTTTCTTCTACAGATATTAAGGAAGTTATGCTAACAACCCAATAATATTTAGGTAATATTTCCTGATTGGTTTGGTCAATAATTGATCGGGTCATATTAACAGAATGATCTAACAAATCTCACAATCTTGATTACTTTGAAAAAAATTCAATTCTTCAATCCGATCATAAAAAAGAATTGAAAAAATACTCACTTTTGTGCTCAAAAAGAGCCTTACGAATCTCCATTTTCTTCGTGGCGTAGCTGTTGACGCATCCAAAGCCTCCATTGCATGGTACTTTGAGACTGGGATGCATGAGCAACAACGACATGACTCTTTAGCTTCTTTCCCTTGAGATAGAGCAGTTTGGGGGGCCCTTCGACTTCGACTGATCAAAGCAAGCCTGGCATAAAATGCGCCCAAATTCGTCATAAAGAGGCGGGGGGCCATTATCGTCGTCGAGCTCTTCCTTAGAAGTGGGGATCCTTGGGGATGTGGTTTTGGGGGATGGGCTCTTCAAGAACGAGGACAAGGTTAAAGAAGTCCCCAAGAGTGAAGTTTTCGTCAAAGAGAAACTCCACGGGGACCTAGGTTTAGGGTTTGATTTTTCGGATAAAACAAGAATGACAGTTTCTCGTTACAGGTTGAAGAAGACGACGATGATGGTGATCTGATTCTTTCTGAGTCACGCTGGATTATATAGAGGGCGGGCCGTGGGCCCTCTAGAGGTCGCTTTCGAGGAAAGTTTAGAAGGGGAAGTGGAGTGAGCCAAATTTGTCGCTCTCGGGGACTTCTTTAACCTTGTCCTCGTTCTTGAAGACCCCATCTCTGAGGAAGAGCTCGACGACGATAATGACATCCCGCCTCTTTACGACGAATTTGGCCGCATTTTATGCGAGGTTTGTTTTGATCGGTCGAAGGGGTCCCCCGAGCTGCTCTATCTCGAGGGAAAGAAGCTAAAGAGCCATGTCGCTGGTGCTCATCCCAGTCTTAACGTACCGTGCAATGGAGGCTTTGGATGCGTTAACAGCTACGCCACAAAGAGGAAAATGTAGATTCATAAGGCTCTTTATTCTCATAAAAGTGATTATTTTTCAATACTTTGGTGATTGGATTGAAGAATTGAATTTTCCAAAGTAACCAAGATTGTGAGATTTGTTAGATCATTCGTCCTTTTTACATAAGTAGGTGAATCTTATAAAACGAGACATCTACTTATGTAAAAAGGACGAATGCTCTAACAAATCTCACAATCTTGGTTACTTTGAAAAATTCAATTCTTCAATCCAATCATCAAAGTATTAAAAAATAATCACTTTTGTGCTCATAAAGAGCCTTATGAATCTACATTTTCCTCTTTGTGGCGTAGCTGTTAACGCATCCAAAGCCTCCATTGCACGGTACGTTGAGACTGGGATGAGCACCAGCGACATGGCTCTTTAGCTTCTTTCCCTCGAGATAGAGCAGCTTGGGGGACCTCTTCGACCGATCAAAACAAGCCTGGCATAAAATACGCCCAAATTCATCGTAAAGAGGCGGGATGTCATTATCGTCGTCGAGCTCTTCCTCAGAAGTGGGGTCTTCAAGAACAAGGACAAGGTTAAAGAAGTCCTCGAGAGTGACAAATTTGGCTCGCTCTACTTCCCCTTCTAAACTTTCCTCGAAAGCGACCTCTAGAGGGCCCACGGCCCGCCCTCTATATAATCTAGCGTGACTCAGAAAGAATCAGATCACCATCATCGTCGTCTCTTCAACCTGTAACGAGAAACCGCCATTCTTGTTTTTTCCGAAAAATCAACCCCTAAACCTAGGTCCCCGTGGAGTTTCTCTTTGACGAAAACTTCACTCTCGGGGACTTCTTTAACCTTGTCCTCGTTCTTGAAGAGCCCATCTCCTAAAACCACATCCCCAAGGATCCCACTTCTAAGGAAGTGCTCAACGATGATAATGGCCCCCCGCCTCTTTATGACGAATTTGGGCGCATTTTATGCCAGACTTGCTTTGATCAGTAGAAGTCGAATGCCCCCCCAAACTGCTCTATCTCAAGGGAAAGAAGCTAAAGAGTCATGTTGCTGTTGCTCATGCATCCCAGTCTCAAGGTACCATGCAATGGAGGCTTTGGATACATCAACAGCTACTACGCCACGAAGAAAATGGAGATTCGTAAGGTTCTTTTTTAGCACAAAAGTGAGTATTTTTCCAATTCTTTTTTATGATCGGATTGAAGAATTGAATTTTTTTCAAAGTAGTCAAGATTGTGAGATTTGTTAGATCATTCTGTTAATATGACCCGATCAATTATTGACCAAACCAATCAGGAAATATTACCTAGATATTATTGGGTTGTTAGCATAACTTTCTTAATATCTGTAGAAGAAGGATTTGTGGATGGTTAGAGGAAATTATGGAGGTTGGTATGATTTGGGGTGAGGGTGGTTACTGGAAAGCCAATATAAAATGAAGGATTATCTCATTGTTGAGATACACAGAAAAACACAAAAGTTTCTATCCGGAACCCCAAATCAAAAAAACCAACCTCTTTTATCCTTTTATTGGTATAAGAGCCTACTTTTGCCCTCTTCTTTGTTTCATACCACCTTCTCTGTTATTTGAGGGACACGATATTTCTTTTCCCACATCTGTATCTTTTCAACTTCTTTATTCAAAATGAAGTAAATATGGTCATAGCTGCCTAGGCTACTTGCTAGTTCCTACCCACTCATAGCTTCTTAGGACCACTTTGTTTTTCTTCTTTTGAGCCGATGGTCTTTGAGCCCATGTGACTCTATTTCTATTATTTTTTTACTCCATAAGTGAAACCAAGTCTTTTGTCTTTTCACCTTTCTTCATTTTGTTCAAGAAAATCACCTCCTGCTAGGTGTGTGTTGAGTAGGTGTGTTAAATGAGTGAGTTTGGGTATTAAATGGGCGGGTCCTAAATGAGTGCGCATGTTTTGCCCATTTCCCATTTATGACTCATTTAATATTTTCTAAATGGGTAGGTTTTTGCCCGCCTATTTAATAAACGGGCTACCCATTTGCTCATTTAACTATAGTAGCTATGTATATAATACTTTTTGGGGCTCTTGCAAACTTTTGGGAGCCTTTTCATACATTTTGGAGGGCTTTTACAACCTTTTGAGCGTTTTTTTTGCAAAAATTCTAGGAGTTTTTTTTCCTAAATAGAATCATTCGAGAATTAGAAACTAGAAATAGAATTCTTATTCAACAAATGAGTCGGAAGAATTCTATTGGCAAATATACAGATAATGTAATATATATTATATGAGGATCTGTGTATCATATATATTTACAGTAAGGAAAAAATGTAGAGTTTGATTCAAACTTCAAGAACTAAAACCAGTAATTGCTACTCATGACCTGGTGCTAGGTTTGTGATAAAATACTAATAAATACATCAATATATCACATGAGAACATGATACAGATCACATTGACACAAACTTTGCATTATCGTTGCTTGATTTAAGTTCATAAATAGTTTCAACTAACTTTGCTTCCCAATACAAAAGATGTTATTATAGTACTAATAGATTGCGAACTACAAAAATGACTTGCACACAAATAAGAAAAGATGCCAACAGAAAAGGGGACCTGGTAGGCCAAGAGGAAGTTTTTAATAAATCTTCAATATAAAGTAGTAAAATTAAAAATGGCAAAGACCCTTGCTCGGCTTACTATCAATTAGCAAAGTTGTTCCAGATAAAGCTTCCAATGTGTTCTCAAATTTATTGAAAGCTTTCAGTTACAACACCTGATGGATACAAATAGAGAGAATATTCCATACATTGTCAAGAAGGGTCAAAGATTTAAAATATAAATAAAAGAACATATAATTAACAAGTAAAACAAAAAATCCCCCCTTGCCCCACCCACCCCAAAATTAATTTGAATTATTTTCTTTATCGTGCCCTTAATTACATAACGTCTAGCTTAGTTGACATTGTTTTTGGCAAATATTGGACAATTAACGAGTACAGGAATTAAAATTCGAAAGACCTTCATGATTTCATGTCTTATGCTTAAAAAATATTACATTTGATAAGATAATCACAAAATAAACAGATCAAGTAACCTTTCTAGCTGCCTCAGTTGAGTTGAACCCTTCCACAAGTCCTGAAAACAACAACAAATATATTTGTGGTGGATAAATGTTAGATAAAGTAAATGGATTACTTGGTTTCATTCACTCTGGAATCTCCTAAAGCTCAGTGACCGAAATTAAACTCCCTATCAAATATATCCGTGGCTAAATAAAACTAAGTATGCTACTGTGATAAATGTTAGATAAAATAAATGGATTATAACGCTAATCACTTTCGCCTTCCGATTCAGAAACCTTGAGATTACTGAAATCATGTACTAATAAATTTCCTTCTTCAATGTCTACCAGAGCTGCATTTAATAAGAAAAAATAATATTAATATTCTATGATAAAATATGTAGTGTACAACAATACAAAAAAGCAATAAAGAAAACAACTCACGAGAAATCCCGTCTAACCAAGAACCAGTACAAATTTGAGCTTCAGCATTCTCCTGAAGAAGACAATTTCGATACTAGTCAAGCACACGACCCACAATGCTGAAAGTCGATTCAGAGGCCACCAAAGTAATAGGAATACTTAATATATCTCGAGCCATCATCGACAACTGAGGACGCTTCTCGCATTCGCCTTTTCAATACTCGAGAACATTCCAGTGATCATTTTTCTTCCAACTGACTAATTTTTCATCTAGATATTCTTCTAATTGAGACTTGGACCCACTGACTGAATATAGTTGACTTTCACTCTGTTCAAACTGAATCATCTCATCATTAGGAACATCTCCAAAGTTCTCTTCACCACTGCTCTCAGTTACAGATATACCTAGAGATGCTCGCTCATATTCTTTGTATAGCCCCAGTTATATTTGGCTGCACCTAAATATCCTTAAGTTTCTGAAAGTTGCATCTTACCCTCGGTTATGCAACCAAGAAAATTTCCCTCTGAAAATTCTCATGTTTGCAAAACTAAGAATACTACAGTGCAACTTTTAGAAACTTTAAGTAACTTAAATGCGGCCAGAGATATTCAAATTAGGTGAAACTATAGGGTATTGAAGCCGATTCGAAGGATATACACTATTTTTCTTGGGGATATACACAGTACATAGTTCCAAAGCTGACAACTCAGACTCAAGGTGTCAAAAATCTCTTTTCATTTGCCAATGTTAATTTTAGGGGGTTTTCTGATAAAATTTCAAAGGAGGGGTGTGTAATAAAAATCTTAAGGGGCTTTTTAATAAGCCCTATATTTAAGGGGATTTTCTAATATTTTGGAAGTTGAGGGAGGTTTTTCGATAATCGTCCAAAGTTAAGGCGGTTTTTCTGATATTTACCCTTTCTTAAACTTGACTCTGTGTCTCATGTGAAGAGATTTTTCTTTTGTAAATTGGTTAAAGATCTTTTCGACAAAGAATTAAAGACACAATCCTAACAATCTCCACATTAGATTTGATTACCAAACTCCCTTGAAGATATATCATCGTTGTCTTGAAACTTTACCTCTCCCACTGGTCTTATATTCCTTTTCGCACTACAAATCAAAGCACATGCACTCCTAATCAGAACACCTGCACTCCAATTGAATGCCCGTATGAACCTCCGCTGTGGTGCCTTCACCTCTCTTGTCCGCAACAAAAGATCTTCGCCACCTCTGACATTAGAAGTAAATCAAACCATACTTCTCTCAGTCTGAATCATGACAGTAGCCTTCCTTAATTGCTGTCCTCGTACTCCACCTGCATCGCTCGTTTCGAATCATATTTGTGCACCTTTTCTACTCCACACTACGAGCCGGATGCCTCTATCTCCTCCATCACTTGTCTTGGACTGAATATGAGCATTCATCGTCTTTAAGTTCAATGCCACCATCTTCCTCTCCGTGTGTGTCACTCGTTCGTGCCTGCTTGCAAGCTCCACCTAATCTAGCACTGTCCTCGAGTCTACACATCAACCAATTCCTGTTCCCACGATGACTCTGAATAATTATATGTTGACAACTCTACTTTTAGAATCACATCTGATTTTTTACACCAGTCTCATCCGTCGCATACTCGTTTATCCTATCTGCCATCAGATCTCTCTCGTCATCACCATCAGAACTTTTCAGCACTTTCTGACCAATCTGAACAAAATCTGAAAAATCAAACATTCCCATCGTGTTTAGAACACTCTAAAACTTAGGAATCAACTTCTAGATCGTCAAAATCTTCCTCCAAACCCTCGATCAGAAGACAAATTAATCTTCTTTTTTTCTTTTTCTTCATCTTGATTCTTGTAACGCTGATCTTCAATCTTGCACGACATCGCTTTCTATCTTACGAACTCGCTCCCGGATCCATCAACATAGCTCTAATATCACTTGTTGAGAAATTTATTCTCCCCATCTACTGTAATCTGCGCAATTCGGAAGTCAACCACAATCAACAAGATATAAAACAACCACAATTAAGAAAAAAGAATATCGAGATTTACGTGGTTCGGTCGACCAACTTCGACCTACGTCCACAAGGTAACAATACGAGAAACTCACTATGTATCAGGGAGAACTACAAGTGCAACCACCCCACTCTCGTATCTCAATCTCTCAACATCACATATATAATGAACTCTCATATTATCTCTAAAGCCCTCTCATTACAATCTTTTGAACGGACAATGACTGCGAAATCCTCTCCTAATGATGTAATCTTTTGCATGGATAAAGACTACAAAACTCTCGCCTATCGTACAAAATTCTTGAATCAGGCTACATCCTCTGCTAACCCTAGATTACAAGAATATTGACTCTCTCTTCTCTATTTGGTTTTTCCTCCAACAATAGAAGAATATATATTGGAAAACCAAAACCCTATCTCTAGCCTAACTTCCTAATTAGAATAGGATTCAAACACCTAATTATGATGAGACTCATTCTCCTAATTAGAATAGGATTCAAACACCTAATTATGATGAGACTCATTCTCCTAAGCATGATAGATCTTTAATCCTATTTAATTCTTATGGAGTTATACAAAGAATCAAAGGCACAATCCTAACAATAGTTTCTCTATTATGCAATACTCCAGGAGTAAATATTTAATTTTAATCTGTGTTAGTTCTATTTTTTCCCTCCAGGTTACATAATATCTATGGATGTATGCATTAGAGTCAAACATATCATTCTCTCACCGAGTCATCATTTGATGTTTAATTCATCATACAAATTGATGAAGCTGGACTATAGTGGAAACTGGGCGAATTTGAGACTTGATGTTTATATGGTTTTTTACTTCTACTAGCACATAACCAGGCAAAAAGTATTCAATTATATAATTAGTCTTACATTTTTATAAAATAGTTTGATGATGATTTGATTTATGCAAATTTATTATGGTACTCAACATAGAATTATTTAGCAATTAAATCTATCATTAACACAATTTTGTTGAGTAGTTTCCTAATTGAGGTTAATATAACTAAAATAAGTGATTAAAAGAAAAAGGAAAAACTGAGAATATGGCAACTTATTTTATGTGTGTATTGTCATTTCATGATTTAGAATTTTCTATAAATAAGAAAGGAATAAAGGAGAAAAGAAAGAAAATAAATGTTTTTCTTAAAAAATTATAATTTTAGTTATATGTGACTCCAAATTATATTCTCATGTCATGATTTAGAATCTTCTAGAAAAGAAAAAATAAAAAGAAAAGAAAGGAAAAGAAAAAAAAATTCTCTTGCAGAATTACTGTTTTACCCTCCGAATAACAATAGAATAGAGGAATATGTCCACCAATATTTTAATTTTTACTACCCTCACTATGTTCATTATAGACTAGTATAGACTAGTATGGACTATAGTTTTCTTATATGGTATGACTATTTTAACTTGGTAGATGGCACTGTAATTCCAGTATTGCTGATTGGATCTCTAGGGTCACATATTGAACAATAAGTTTCTTGACAGACTGGGGTTTTAATGGTGATTTTTAAGAATTTCAACAATCTTCTTTCAAACTCTTAATCCATTTTGATTTGTTAATTGTTAGTTGTTAGTTCGGCTAGAATGTAACTTGCTTTTATTTACCCCTTTTTTTCTTTAAATATGTCGTGGGGGGAGGAGGAGGAGAAGAAGAAGTAGAGTTCGGAGAGAGGTTGAGTTTTCTGATACAGGTACTATCTATGTATTTTCACCTCCTTTTTTTTAATTTTATTTGTTGATAATGTATTTTCACCTCCTAATAACCGCTTGAATACCTGCACAGTTGACATTTATGTTTTTTTCCTTTTTTGTTTTTCGTTTTGAGAGTATAATGTGGTGGCGGCAATACAAAGAACAATTTCTTTTGTCGGACTTTTTCAATGAACTTTTCCTTTCCAGTTTCATTTAGGGGATACTTGTATCTTCCATTTGTGGCTACCTTTAGGTTTTTATGCATGTTGGTTAATACTCCAGTTGTTTGTAGGAGTTATCTACTGTTTTCTCAAAAAGTAGACTATTGAAGAAAGGGTAAAGATTTCCACCATACACTTGTTCTGTACATACCTCATGTGGCATTAGATTCTTGTTCATCACTCTAATCTTAGGTTCCCTCAGGTACTGAATGGTTCAAGAGACAAGTAGATGTCAAAACTTGAGGGAATGCTACCGAGTAAATGTGCTATATACTGTTTCCCATAATATTGTGTCATATTTATACATCTGACTTAAACGAACACTATGCTTAATTTCTCTACTGCCTTTACGCTCTACTTCCATTTGCCATCATTGTGGCATATTTATACTTCCATTTGCCATAATATTGTGTCATATTTATACTGTTTCCCATAATATTGTGTCATATTTATACTTCCATTTGCCGTTATTGACTAATAAGCATGAGTTTATTTAATGACATATCCTGGAGAAAATATTTAATGTTCTACCACAGGGAAGAAGTGCAAGAGACTCCTACTTTGTGGCGGTGATTATATGCAAATTAAGTTGTTTATCTTAAAAAATCTATTTAATCAAGAAACATCAAATACTCTCTTTTATCTGTCATTACAAATTTTTGCAGTCTATTTCCTTTGGCAACTGATATAAGCCATTTCTTTGGTAAGTATTCCATAATATATTAAAACATAAAAGGGAAACAAACACACCCTCTTCTTAGCAAGAAAGTTAACCTAAATATAGGACAATTGGAAGATGATCAGATACCAATTTGGGTGCTCAAGGGACAAATTTTATACCTCTATAAATTTTATTTGGTTTGTTTTAATCAAGCATGTCACTTTCAAGCTGTTATGAAGGAGACAAGCTTGATGATCTCTTAAAAACAGGTTAGCTAAATTTCTCAACTTTAGTCACTAACTTAATCCCTGTTTGCAAATTTTAATTTTGTTACTTTTTAAAATGTAGGAGCATAGAGTTAGCAAAAGCTTCAAAAGGGGAGCAACTGCCAGATAAAATTTGGATGAAGGTATGCAATTTTGTTGTATTCTTAAAGACCCATTTGAATTGTATGGACAATGGTGGAATTATTGTGTTCAGCAACAATTAGTGATCATAGACAATGATGTCACCAAGGTGCTCGAGAGAAAGAGAAAATTTTGCAGATAATGATAGCATTAAAAGACCACTTAGAAAAGCTCCATTGGTTCCTCCTCAGGTATGAGTCCTCTTCTATTCTAAAATATCTTCATTGACCAATAACTTACTACTTCACACAACTATTTGCTATGTACAGTGTTATTTTGCAATTTCTACTATTCTTATGCATGATATTCATCGTGTAATGTCAGTGAAATCCTTGTTTGCATTCAAATAGAAATTGATGGAATTTGATACTTTTTTTTGCGGTCTCCTAAACATGAATAATGCTAATTGAATTATTAATTTTTTGATATACAGGATCAGAAAATTTTCCAAGAATAAGCACACGTGATGATTATATATCTTAGTACAAAAGTAATGTATTTAAGCCCTTAAATGGTAGAAGTAATAGGAAATCTATGTATTTATGTCCTAAAAAAAATTAAACGATGCATTTTGTATTCTCTATATTAATAAAATCCCATACAATTATATGAGAATATTACATACACTAGGACCTTATCTTTCTTGTCAGTAATTTCATGTAGATTATATATTAATAAAGGTTTCATGGTCTTAATCATACTGGCCTGAATGTAGTTTATACCAGGCTATTACCAGTTAAACAATTCTTCAAGCTGAGAATTTCTAGAAAGAAAATTTCTCAACTTGTAGAGATTGTATGCTCTGACTTTTATAGTTATGCATCAGTTTGATTTCATGATGACATTTCTAATGGTCTATCCAATAGTTTATATCTAACATGATCGGATAATTGGAGCTATCTTGTGGCTGTTGTTGGCCATCTTTTTAGCTTCAGATTACAACCCTCGGTTACTGACAAAGCATATACCAAACCTGGCATCTTCAAGAAATGTCCCCCTAATCTCCATCAAAGATAACAAAGGAGGGTCCATAAGGTTAGGTGAATTAGTGAGCCTAAAAACAGCTGTGGCTATTGGAATAAAGCAGAGGTCAAGTTTTAAACTAAATTTGATTTTTGGACAGGTAAGATGTATCTAACTTATTAACTTTGAAAAGAAAACATAGTCGCGCTAGTTGCTTTTGTTGTATGTTATGTTTACTGGTTACTTTGAATATTGAGGGTTGGCTAATGTGATTGTTTTTACTGTGGTATTTTATGACTTATACAAATTAATCTTCTGGGTTGTTAGGTTGCTTGCAACTTTAATTTCGATGCAACTGCTCCTGTATTAGTTGCAATTTGTAGAAGTCTTGTTTATGTTCAAACTTCAGCAAGTTGAAATTGCAATTGGGTGAAAATTTGGCAGTTATACCCCCTCGATGAAATTTCTTTTTAACTATTTTACCTTCAGATGGACTCACTAATTTGTCATCATTTTCTCTTTCTAGGGAGTCATCAGATAAAGGTTAGATTTAACATCCAACGTTGCATATCACATATCACATATCAACGCATTCTATTGTAGACATGAGTCATCTAAAGAAACAATGAAAACAAAACTTAACCTGATAAAGTTGTCAGTGCAAAATGATGTTTACTATGAAGTAGAACTAGAGTGAAGTGCTACCAAGGAGGCATAAACCCTATCCTCAAAATTCATCAGAGCCTCATGCCTCCCTTTCTCTGCGACCATACCATTCTTAACTGCAGCAATAGTGTCAGCACCTCTAATTGTAGACAGTCGATGAGCAATGACTATTGTGGTTCTATTGACCATAACTCGATCTAGAGCATCTTGAACTATTCTTTCAGATTCAACATCCATTGCACTACTTGCTTCATCAAGTAGCAAAATCTTGGGTTTCTTTATGATGAAACATGCAATTGCTACACGTTGCTTCTGACCACCCGATAACTGAATCCCTCGCGCTCCAACCATTGTGTCATTACCCTGTAATTCCCAAAAATAAAATTAAAAAAAAGTTCAAGAACAGATATTAGAGTATATGCCAAGGGGTATATTTTGATCAAGGTGTCAATACCTATCTATACATTAGCAGCTCATATAATCCTTGTTAAATGTTAGAGTGAGTTGTGCCCTTATATCGTACACTAATATTGAGCGTAAATGATTTTATCACTTTTTTTCTTTCTTTCTTTTTTTGTTGCCTTTACATATATTGTTAGGGTTGGACAGGCCTCTTTTTCCAACGTGGGACTAAATTCACCTGATGCTTATATTTTAAATCAAACTCACATTTAACTGAATGGATACGATACACTACTTTCCCTTAACATCCTAAATGAACAGTTTTTTTTAATCTAGTTACCTTCTTGTAGTTTATGTAGTAACTTGTGTTTGACTGGGAAACATCATTTTCTTATATCTAGAGTTGTTTCATTAAATCCCTATTGACGAAACAAAAGAAGTTTAGCCTGCCATTATTCTTAAAAAAAGTCACGAGAAGTTTAACCTACCAATATTCTTCAAAAGTTTTGATTCAGTTTCAAATTGCTAATAGGTATAGATAGAATTTAGACTAGCAATAAATTTTAGCACTACCTCACGGATCAGGGACTTAGGACCGACATATGTCAGATCATAAGCCTGTTTTGACAATTGATTGAATTCAACTGACAAAATTATAGACTATATATCTGCTTATAAGCATCCTATTTATTCTATAGTGTTGGGGAGAGATCTGCCCTTTTGGGATATAAATGGGCATTAAACAGGGAGTGAAATCCATTGGTTCCACTCCAGGTATGGTCCGGTTATATTCTGAATTTTTACATTGATTAATAATTTATACTACTTCACCCAAAAAAAATCTATGTAATGTTTTATTTTGAAATTTCTATTGTTCTTATGCATGATATTCGGCATGCAATGTCAGTGAAATCCTTGCTTGCGTTCACAAATGGAAGTTGATGGACATTGGTACTCTTTTTGTTGTCCCCTTCTAAACACGAATAATACTAACTAAATTATTAATTTTTCAGTACACAGGATTAAAAATTTTTCCAAGAATAAATACACATAATGGTTATATATCTTAGTACAATAACTATTTATGCGGAAACCCTTAAAATGGTAGAACCACATAATATAGCTGTGATACTCAATAGGAAATTTATGTATTCATGTTCCAAGAAAGTTAAAAGGATACATTTCGCATTCTAAAAGAAAGGTCCTAAGAGTTATATGAGAACATTTAGTTACTTTCACTTGCGTATTATTTTTGTTATGTGCTTAGTCTACAATTGGGTATGAGTTTAGCTTAAGCATAAATATCCTCTGCGTGTCATCTTGATCCACTTCACTATAGCTTTTAATTTACATGCACCAGGACCTTATCCCTGTCTGTAATTTTCATGTCATAGGAAAAGGTTTCGTGATCTTAATCATACTGTCCAGAATATAGTTTATGTCAGTTAAACAAGTTCCTTCGTGATGACAATTTCTGGCAAGAAAATTTCTTAAAATGTAGAGACACATACTGTATATTTGTCTTTTGCCTTTTTTCTAAAGGGATATCTTTTAAACTTATGCTTCGGTTTGATTTCATGGTGACATTTCTAATGGTCTATCCAATAGAGATGACCTGTTTACAAACTTTGATATCTAACATGATCAGATAACTGGAGCTATATCTTTTGGCTACTATAGGCTATCCTTTTAGCTTCAGATTGCAACCCCCGATCACTGATAAAGCATATACGAAGCTTGGCATCCTCAAGAAATGTCCCCTAAATCTCCAACAAAAATAACAAAGGAGGGTCCGTAAGGTTAGGTGAACCGGTGAGCATAAAAACATATACGGCTATTGGAGTAAAGTTTAAGTTCAAAACTAAAATTTCTTTTATGCCTATAGTTCATAATAGAGTTGGGTTTCTTTTATGAAAAAATTGTAGATTATGTTCATTGGTCACTGGAAATATTAACGTTAGGCTAATGTGATATGTTTATACTGTGTTTTTTAATGATTTTTGCAAATTAATCTTCAGAGTTGTTTGGTTGCAAGCAACCATAAACAATTCAATTGTCAACTGCAGGAAACTGCTTCTGCATCAGTTGCAACGGTAGCTGTTTGGTCTACTTTAAAATTCGGCAACTGCAATAGAGTTGCAAGTATTTGTTTCTACATTGGGTGACATTTTAGCAGATATATCACCGGGATAAATTTTTTTACTCTTTTACCCTTAGATAGAGTCACCAATTTGTTATCGTCTCTTCTCTTGCTACAAGTCATCGGATTTTGGCTAGACCTAGTCTCCAACATCGAATATCACATATTAACATACTTAATTATAGGCATCCACAGAAACATAGATGAAAACAACACTTTAATCTGATAATGTCATCAATAAAAAATAGTGTGCACTATGGAGTGGAACTAGAGGGAAGTGCTACTAAGGAGGAATAAGCGACATCCATAATATTCTTTAGAGCCTTATGCTTCCCTTTCACTACAGTCATATTGTTCAGCGATAGTATTAGCACCTTTAATTGTAGACGATGGATAGGCGATAACTATTGTTGTTCGATTGACCATTACTCAATCTAAAGTGCCTTGAACAACTCGTTCAGATTCAGCATCCAGTGCACTTGTCGCTTGATCAAGGAGCAAAATTTTTGGCTTCTCCACAATTGCACGATGGATTGCTACCTGTTGCTTCTGACCACCTCATAACTGGATTCCTAGCTCTCCAACCATTACTTCATAACCCTGTATTTCCAAATTCTTTTTGACAAGAACAAACATATGTTGGAATATAAGCTTACAGCTGATCTTTGCTAGAATCTGGCGCTAGGCTGCTTGAGTGAGAAGTTCCCATGGCTGCCACCGAGAGGCCTTTCAATAGAACCGGCAATAGGGATTGAGATCCGCATTTTTATCTTGGAAAGTAAAAAAATGTCCGGATAATTTAAATGCAATTTTTTAGAGCTTTCACTTAGTAGTAGAAATGCGCATGAGAGCGTGTGTGTGTGTGAGGAGAGGGAGGGAGGGAGGGAGAATAAAATCTGCAACAGGGATTGAGATCAGAATTTAACCTTGAACAGCAAAAAAAAATGTCCAGATAGTTCAAATGCAATTTTTAGAGCTGTCATTTAGGAGTGGAAATATGTATGGCGGTAGCTAGTGTCTATTTTTGTCTAGTATTTAGTCGACCTTTGCTAAGAAAATGCCACTACTTTGCTTATGTTGCGTGCCTCTACGGAAGCGTGCTCGCACACCGAACGAATCTGTGATCACGGAAGAAGAGAACCAACTACACACGAGCACAATTCAAACCAAATACGATAAATAAAACCAAACGTAGAGATATACGTAGTTCGACAATTTGCCTACGTCCACGGGGAGAGGATAGGGAGATTCCACTAAATCAAGGAGAGTATAAAGAGTTACAATCTCACAAAATCACTCACACAAATCCTAAACCAAATCTTTCAACTTGCTCACAAGTTCTCCTTCTCAATATGCTCAGTACAATCTAAAATCTCTGATTAGAAACCCTAGAAAATCGTGTTTCAATTTATATCAAAACACAAACCCAATGCGAACATGAAACCAAGCTCAGGCCCAAAATCGCATCGCGATCGACCGCCGTACCACATGCGGTCGACCGAACAGAAGACAGAAACCCACGAAAATCCACTACAGGGTCCACGGTAGACCGTCGCACCACTCACGGTCAACAGCGAAAAGTCCAGAGACTTTTCTCAGTCGCGTGCACGTTTGCGATCGACCGCTGCGCGACTCGTGGTGGATCGCTGGAAATCCTAACTGTTTTTTGCTGTATTCACTTCAATTCTCTACCTTGGTGAAGCTTTTTCAAAACTGAGCCGACATCAAATGAAGAGCAGCAATGTGTTGTTTCTCCAAAATTGACTGTACCAATATGGTTGCCTACGTACCCCCTCTCCTAAGGGTTCAAGCCGCCTGTAGTTCATCCAAATGGCCGTCAACGGCATCAACAAATACAAATGTGCAATAAGTTTCGGCAATAATCAAACTTGTTCCTCGAAACCAACTTAGTGAGCATATCCGTCAAATTATCCTTTGTGTGGACCTTCACAATCTCCACATCGCTATCTTCAAGAACATCTCGAACGAAGTGATAACGAACGTCAATGTGCTTCGTCCTCGCATAAAAAACCTGATTCTTCGTCAAATAGATAGCACTCATACTATCATAATGAATAGTGACAGACCGTTACGATATATCAAGTTTCTCCAAAAGTCCTCGAAGCCAAATACCCTCCATCACAACCTTCGTAATCGTTATATACTCTGCCAAGGTTGTTGATAGCGGATCGCGGCGCGGCGCGGCGAGGTACCGCTAAGGCTATATCGGGCTATTGCGGCGAAATCGCGACAAATAGCGCATAGTCAAATAGCGGTTAAATTTAAATATATTTAAATATCCTAAATAATAAGAAAATTCATAAAAAAATCTAAAAATTCAATTAGTTGTAAATTTCTTGTATTATCAGTAAATAACTTCATAAAAAAATCTAAAAATTCAATTAGTTGTAAATTTCTTGTATTATCAGTAAATAACAATTAGTAGGTTTGTTGTATGAATGAAACTATGAAGAAATTTAAGAAATATAGCATCATAATATATGTGATAGCGGGTTTAGCCGCTTTTAACAGCGAAAATCAGCTTTAAACCGTGAAAATCCGCTTTTAACCGTGAAAACCCTCTTTTTAACAAAACCCTCTTTTAACCCGCTAAAATCCGTTTTTATGCGCTATTCGAATGAATAGCGGATTTTCCCGCTTAAGCCAACCGCGAAACCCCTACGCGTAGCGCTGAAGGGCCACGACCGCTATTCCCGCCGCTATAGCCCCGGTATTGGCCGCTATTTACAACACTGTACTCTGCCTCTGTTGTCGACAAAACCACCGTAGTCTGTAAGATGCATCTCTAACACACCGGTGTACGAGTCA